ATAAGAAAATTTTAATCAAACTTTATTATTCATTTATACACTGTTATTTAAACTATGCTAATATCGTCTGGGGTAGTACAAAAAAAGTAAGTTTCAACGTCTTTATCGCCGTCAGAAATATACAATCCGTTTAATTTGCTTTGCAAATCGCTTTTATCAGGCAAAACATTGCTTTATTGAAATGAGAATTTTAAATATATACGAGCTAAATATATATAATGTTTTATGCTTTGTATACATGTGGAAAAATGACTTGTCTGAATCTGTCTTCAAAGATATCTTACTACGAAACCCATCAACAAATACAATTTGAGAAATACTGATTTTTTTAATTAAACATTTTTGTCAAAAGAACTTTAATCAACTTTGTATTGCTTATCGGGCACCATACTTTTGGAATAAACTTTTTGTAGCCGAATATTGACTTCGAACTACCCATTACTTTTCGTTTTTGTAAAAGTAAATTAAAAACCCTAATTTTTTCATTATATGACGTATTATGTTATTATTAATAATATGAATTGATAACTTTACCTTTCCTTATTTACATTTGTAAAAAGTTTGTTCTTACTTATTTTGTTGATTTTATACTCTTTACTTAACATATTATTACATTTTGGTACGTATATGTTTATATAAAATATTAATGAGTAGATCCGCGTGATCTCTCTTTTAATTATATAATATATACTTAGGAAATTTATAGAAATTTAATACTATTGTTACCTTTATGCTTGTTTGAACTTATTTAAGGTTCTGACGACAAGATTCTTTGATCTTCTTTCAGATACCTTGTTTTATATTTGTGCAAGTTTATTATTATTATTATCATTATTTATTTTTTTAGCAATATATAATTGTAATACAAACAACAAATCTTAAATGAAATAAAAAATTAAAAAAAAGTTTAAAAAAAAAAAGTATTTTTGTTGGTTTACTGTTGAAAATATACATTTGATTGTTTTTGATAGATTGCTTTAGTGCTATAGAATGATTTTAGAATAGTATTGCTTTATTGCTATAGTAGTGTTTTAATCTAGAGTCAATGTCTTATATTTGTTTAAATAATTATCTGTAATCTAAATTATTTTCTTTGCTTATTAAAAACATGGTACAATATTTTAAAAGAAAAACTAATAGAGGTTATACTCTTGGAGATGTCATTATGTGGGCTGTTAAAGGTGTAAAGCTTAATAACATTTCGATTAGATCAGCAACAAAAAACCATGGCATTAATTACAGAACATTACACGTTATCGTAAAAAAATTATTATTACTAACCTAACATTAACACGTTATTGTAAAAAAATTGTTATTACTAATCACATGGTTCTATTACAGATCTAATTGGCAAAAATCAAAACTCTACTTGCATAAACATAATAGGATACAAAAGTCAGCAGATATTCCCAGTTAAATTAGAAAAAGAACTTGTCATATACCTGTTACGAGCAGCAGAAATTTATTTTGGTTTAACTTCTACCGAATTAAAAAAGCTTGCTTTCCAGCTTGCAATTAAAAATAATATAAAAGTTCCCAATTCTTGGGTTGTAAATGAACAAGCTGGTAAAGATTGGTTTACAGCATTTATAAAGCGCCACCAAAATATTTCCATTAGACAACCTGAATTTACTAATTTAAGTTGAGTGACAAGTTTCAATAAGCAGAGTGTTGCAATATTTTTTAGCAATTTGCAGTAATGTATGCAAAACTACTTGTTCTCACCAAATGATATTTGGAACATGGACGAAACTGCTGTAACAACTGTACAAAAATCTAAAAATGTTGTTGCCAAAAAAGGAATAAAACAAATAGGAGCCATCAGGTCAATTTAAAGAGGAACTCTTAACATTAACATTAGCATTCACAATTTTATTGGAAATAGCATTCCACCTTTTTCTATTTTTTCTCGTAAAAACCTCAAAAATCATTTCCTAATAGGAGAACCAACAGAAGGTGCAGGAGAAGCCAATGCAATTTGTTGGATGAAAGAAGAAAACTTTGTAAAATATCTACAACATTTTGTAAGCAATACAAAATGCACTAAAGAAAAGCCTTGTTTATTGTTGCTTGACAATCATGAAACCCATCTTAGTTTGAAGGTTTAGATATGGCAAAAAAAAAAGGAATAGTAATGCTTACCACTGCATTGCACGCATAAGTTGCAGCCCTTAAATGAAGCAGTTTACGAATTTAAAAAATCTATTCACATACCAGATCATCAGATAGACATAGTAATTGAAGATCCAATTGTATCAGAACGCAATCACTCCATTAGTTTTAAAAAATTCAATCATACTACCTGAGAGTATTAGGTCTCTGCCTAAAGCAGGTCCAAGGTTAGCGTCAAAAAGAAGTAAGAAAAAGCGTTCAACTATGATTCTTATTAACTCACCTGTCAAGCATGACTTGCTAATTATAAAAAGAAAAAAACTAAAAAAAGAAATATTATTAAGAATCGTAAACCATTTACAAAGTAAAAAAGAATTGATAAAGTTAGATTTTACCTAAAAAAAAACAACCTCTGCAGTCTTAAATTCATCTAAAGATGAAGAGTATCTATGCATCTATTGTTATGAATTATTTGCTAACAGCAGATCAAGAGAACATTGGATTCAATGTCAGGCTAGCCAAAAATGGGGTCGTAAAGAATGCATACCAGGCTTACACCAATTAATATGTGAATTTTTTTTTTCATCAAACAAATTATAAAAACACTTATATAGTCCAAAACTAAATGTGTTTATAGTATTATATTAAAAAAAAATACATTTTTCGGTATATAGTATTTTTTTTTTCAGTTTTTTCAGCTTCATTTTTTTATTTTAGATTATTCAGATTTATTCTTTGTATTATATTAAAAAAAAAAACGTATTGGTACTAGTTTTAAATATAACCAAAACATACCAAGGTATGTGACAACCAGCCCCGTGGGTGGGGTTGATTGTCACACGGAAGAGGACTTTGATAAATGATTTTACAGCAAAAAATATTTCACTCAATGTCATAAAAATACTGTTATAGTTACCGGAAATAGTTTAATTACTTTTAATTAATTAATTTACTATAATTATTTAATATAAAAGCTGAACAGTCTAAAATGTAAAAAGTGCGACTACCAAACCCGTTCTCCCCTATATAATTTAAAACTTTTTTAAAATGTTTTTTTACGTTATTTAATATTTAATCTTCGTCGGAATCAAGCCTATTATTTCAAACATGATACATAAATTTGAGTAACTTTTTAAAAAGTTTAATTGCCTTTAATGTAATTAAATGAAACCTTATAAATAAATAAAAATGTGAAAAAACGGGTCATAAGCCCTGAAAATTTAAATTGGAAGTGAAACTTTATTATCAAATTTAAAATTGAACGTACGAAAGATCACACTATCCGAAATAGAGTTGTAAAATTACATATAGTTGTGTAATCACGACAACCAGATAGATAAAACATGGCTGATATAAAAAATATGGATATTGCACCGTCTAAATCAGATTATAATAGAGTGTTCAAAAAATGGAGTGTTCAAGATAGAACTTTGAGTTAACATTAATATGAAGTTTTAAATTCGATAATTATCATTTAGCACGGAATATCAGTATTGGTTCAGGATTTTTAATTTTCACTCTTGAACTGTAATTTCTCAAAATCTACAATATTTTTTTATTTTATTTTAGCAGTTTGCATAATATGTAAGTTTCAATACACTTTAAATGTTTTTTTATTAAAGCTTAAAAAAATGTTGAAATAAAGATTGTTGTAATATTATTTTATTTTTTTATTATTTTCTAGCTAGGATTTAACTTACCACGAGTGAGTGGCACTTGTGGTAAGTTGAATCATGGTTAGAAAAAAATAAAATTGAAACAAAATTACAACATTAACTCAAAATGATTTAACAAAAACTATTCAAAAACAAATATAAGCTTTTATAAAAAAAAAAAAAAAAATTATTTAATAGGGTCTTAACAATTTTTCCCAGAAAAGAAACAAAATAAAACATAATAAGCTAAAAAATTAAAAAAAATATTGAAGTCTTTTCTATAAAAAAAGCTCTTTACTATTAAGTCAAAATTCTTAAGGTTTAGTAAAAACAAATCCAAAAGTACTAATGCTTTTGTTACAGATCACAAAGGAATACCATTCAATATGATACCATTCAACACGGTACTTACTCAGGTTCACCTTTATGAATGGCGTTTAAGAACTTAATAAAATTAAAAGTTTAATTTAAAAAATACTTTTGTATACATTATTTGTTTTAAGCACATTATTTTGTATAAAAGTTTTAAACTGCAAAATATAATAACATGGTGTTAGTACACTTTGGTTGCTATCGTTTTGCACTCACACCCTTTGTTTAATATGATTTTTACTTGTAAAGTTTGGAAGCACTTTAGCTCTTTTTAGACTAGATTCTAATGATTCAAGGTACTTGTGCTTGGTAATTTCATGTTTATGTAGTAATAAACTAATCTAAAACACTATATCTAATCTTAAACTCGTTTTTCAATGTTTCTGCGTTTATGTTTTTTGTCTTTCTTTGAAACAAACTTTGATTGATTTTGTATAAGAATATAAGATAAACTTAATAAAAAAATTAGAAGATTACGCTGCGAGTTGTTTACAATAGCGTCCATATAAAACCGCGCGCTGGTATCTATTAATTTGGTTTTAGGTGCTTCAAGAAGTCCTTACGGTCTTATCACAGAGCACCGCGGAAGAGCATTTAATAGAAAGTTCACGCCTCTTTCCCAAACGATGTCGCAAAACTTGCCCAGAGGTGGGGTTTGAACCACGAATCTTACGTTTCTGAGGCAAGTGCGCTACTACTGCGCCACGGCGGCTGTGGTACTTAATTTGCTCCTCTATAAATGTTGCAGCTTATGTAAAAAAAAAGTTAAAATTAAAATAATAATAGTATTAGTTTAAATTGCATTTTCAAAGGGGTGGAAGCAACATGTTCTTTTTTTTATCATATAAAAAATTTACGTACACTAAAATGTTTACTAAGCACGTTCTTGATTGAAAATCTTGAAACTGCTGCAAAACACCGTTTGTTGAGTAGAGGCTTACTCGATACTTGTCCAGAGGTAACTTGTTTAGTATATTGGAAATCAACATTTTCCCAAAAGATTGTCTCTGGAAATCAAAGTCTTTAATTATAACTACATTACTTCCTTGAAAATCACCTAAAAATTATTTATATAAAACGTTACTCTGATAATTCACTTTTATTGAAAAAATTTTAATATACACAATGTGTATAACGCTAAGTTACTGAGGTAAAATTGATAAAATAGTTGTATATATATTTAGGAAGAAAATCTAAAAAAAAAAAAAAAAAAAATGCAGTAAAACGCTATACTATTTTGTTGTTTAGCATTTGAAAATTGTTATCTATCTACATCCCGCGACATCAGAATTATCTTGTTCTATCTCTAACTTTTGAAAGATTTGGTAATTCAATTTTTTTGAACCATTTACTAGTACATTTTTTTATCTTAAATATAATAAAAGTATAAAAAAATATATAACACAGCTTTGAGGTTCAAATTGCATCTCATTAATAAGCAAATTTCAAAACGTTATCTTATTTACCTCAAAGTTATCAATCATATTCACCAATTACATACTGCGTAATTTTGCCTTTTTTAAAAAGGGCTACTGAAAATACTGATTAAGAATTCTTGCTTTAAATATAAAGGGCTACTGAAAATACTGATTAAGATTTCTTGCTTTAAATCAAAACGAATGAATTTAAATTCTTAAGAAAATTCTTAGCCTTAATTCATAAGTTAGAATGTCATGAATAATCTGTAGCGATTTCTTTTTGAATATATAATAGAATTTTAATTTGAAAATCAGAACCTAGATGTTGTGAAGTTTGATTGTTGTTAACTTAACAAAATCCAGATTCCGTTTTTTATTTTAAAATTTTAATTAGTTATAAGTTATTAACTTTTTGTGCATCATAAATAATCTAAAAATAAAAGTAAAAAATCATTTTAAATTAGCATTTAGAGTCACTTGTATAACGTCTTCTCATAGGTCGCTTTATGGTGCTGAAAAATTACCTTGGTGTACCAAGGTAATTTTTCTTATATTTTGTATCACTATCAGATTTACGTTTCCATGGTACACCAAAATATAAGAAAAATTACCTTGGTGTACCAAGGAAAGCTGATAGGGATACAAAATATAATAAAAATTACCTTGGTGTACCAAGGAAAGCTGATAGTGATACAAAATATAAAAAAAATACAACGTCAAATCAGGTAAAGCTTATAATTATTCAAAAGTAAAGCAAGCGCCAGAAAAATCAGTTACAACACTAAAAATCAGTTACAATACTAAAAATTGCATAAATTTTTAATTCAAATGCTCTCTTTAAATATTTCTGAGATTGAGCGTAAACAAATATTTGATAACTTGTAGAAGTTCAACGAAAATGGTAATAAAATTTTTTTGTTTAAAAACCAACGAAAATCTTGATAAAAAACGGTATCGTATTGGTGAAAATTCATACAAAAAAAAATTCTTTTTCTTATAGCTTTTTTGTATCTATAAAGTTTTATATAATATAAAGTTTGTAAATCCTTTTTACCATTTAACAGATGTAGATAAGTTTTTACTTTTACATATTTTATAAAAATTACTATAACGCTTATGCAATCAAAATAATGCAAACATGTAAAGAAAAAAAAAGAAAAACAAACAAAAAAAAAAAGCTTATAACAAATTTTCAAGCAGTTTTTATAAAGCCATATAAGTTATTTTTTAAAAAATAAAGCAGAAAATAAAAAAAACAGAAGTATGAAAAATGCATACTACTGCAGAAAACAATCAAATAAAGGATACACGGAAGAGTAACTCAAATGCAAATAATCAAATCAAATGTAAGACCTTTTCAAAAGAGCTAAAACTGGAAACCTTTACTACAAACATGAGTTTTCACATTATAACTTTTACTGCAAACATGACTTTTTAGATTATAGCTTTTACTACAAACATGAGTTTTCACATTATAGCTTTTACTACAAACATGAGTTTTCAGATTATTACTTTTATTACCTTTTTGTTTATTAACTTTTTAGTTTTGTCAAACTTAAAAATTATTTGATTTTTTCAAACTTTTTAATTGGTTCTTTAAAACTTTTTTTAATTTCACTCTTTTATATATTATTGGAAGTTGTAAAATTTTATTTTTTCTATTTTTACGAAGGGGCTTGATGATAAGACATTTTGTCTTCTACTTACCCCAGTCAGCTTGCAATTGTATAAATTTATTTGAATGTAAAGTTAACATTGTAAAATGTGTCAAATGATAAAGTAAATAAATAATTAAATTAAAAATTACAAACATGAGTTTTCAGATAATAACTTTTACTACAAACATGAGTTTTCAGGTCATAACTTTTACTATATACATAAGTTTTCAGATTATAACTTTACCACAGGCTACTTAAGAATGAAAAAGCTATCATAAATATAAACCATAAAATTAATTTTTTTAGTTGTTGATAAATTATCAAATATATGCAGGGGCGTCTCTAGGAATAAAATGAGGGAGGGGTGGAAAATCCTTCAAGTACCAACTGCTTATAAAACTGACTAAACCTGATCGCCTTTTAAAAGATCAAATAGATAAAAATCAGTTACAAAATACATTTTTATTTTTATACAAAACTAAAGTTATTTTATTCTATTTCCAAAAGATCATGAAAAAAAAAAGGGCTTTAGCGTTATTTATTTAAGCTTCATGTACTAAGAATAAACAACTAAACTATCTTGAATATTATTATTTCATTATTATTTATAATAATTTAATTAGTTGGGTTTTCAAAGTTTTAAAAAAGATTCCTGTTCATGTAATCTTGAGTTTACAAAAGTAATCTACCAATGATAAAGAATTACATTCTTTGGATCGCTTTTTCAAATTGAACTATTATTCATTTTAAATTAAGTAAAATTAGATGAAAAAACGTTTTCAAAATGAAATTTTAAAATGCTCTCTAAGTTTCTTGTATTTTGTTATAAAGTCCATGTTAATTTTGAAAATTTGTTTAAAAATCATCTTAAAACCCAAATCATCCGAAAATATTAAAAATTTACTTAATTCTTACTATAAATATTATAAATTTAATTAAATTATTTTAATAAAAAAAAAAAAAAATTAAGTAGCAATCAACTTTAGCATTTTCTCAAAGAGTTAAAATAATATAACTCTATTGTCGCCATCTACCTAAATAAGATAATTCTATTGTCGCCATCTACCTAAATAAGATAACTCTATTGTCGCCATCTATATTAACAAGCCATAAAGCAAAAATTTGATTCAAAAAAATTAGTAGAATTACCTTTTGTCCGTTTAAAGTAAATGTTAATTGCAAGAAATACTGTAAGGAGAATGCTGTACAACATTTGTAACTGAAAAAAGCTTCAATACCATAAAGACAATTAACAATAAACCTAAAAATTATACATTTTTTAGATAAGTTTGTCTGAAAATCAAATTGCGACTTAATGTTGCAAGCCACGAATGTTTTTAATTGCACAATTTTTTTTTACCATTTTAAACTCATTTGAGGCAAAACTCAATTATGCATTTCAATATTTTAAATATCAAAGAGATTTTGATGTAAGGGTTTTTTTTCGTTTTTACATTAAAACAATTTGTGAAAAAATATTAAATTACTGATATAAATTAGTTTCAGCGCGAGTTTACTCACTAAAAAAATTTAATTAAGTTCCATAATAATTCAACATAATTAGTAGAAAATTGTTTAATTTGAGCATGTTAACAGGTTTTTTCATACAAGTTTTTTTCAGAGAAACATTCACTTTTAATGAATACCTACTAGTGTACTTATGACAATACTTGTTTTTCATGAAAAACAAGTATTTTCATAAGTACACTAGTTTTTATAAAGAGGTACACAAGTAAAATTTTGCATTATTTAAACAACTTATAATTGTATGAATTCATACAATTATAAGTTGTTTAAATAATGCAAAATTTTACTTGTGTACCTCTTTATAAAGATTTGAAACATTTTTATCTTCTGATTTATAATTACAAATGCAGCTTTTTTCCAGAGATGTTCTCGGCTTAACAAGTAGCTATACAAATTTGTCTAAAATATCTATAATTCGAGAAGGTAAATATCTTTTATAAAAGCATTGATTTTACAGGCAGCTCAACCATTACAAATTATTTCTATTTAAGAACATTCCATGCAGTTTTTATATTTGATGCTTTATTAGTTACAATGCTTTTTAACACAAGCCTCAAAAATTAAACTTTCTATGCGCCTTGCACTGAGGCGTCTCAAGGAAGGAGAGGGTTGTCATGGGTAGCTAGCCCCCTTACGAAATTTATTAGTCGAAAAATTTTACACTAAAGTCGAAAAAATTGTTTCTATAGTTGGCAGTCGGCAAATGTCAACAAACAAAAACCTTTTTTTTTCTTTTAGATCTTAATTAGTAAATAAATTTTTTAGGCCTTAGTCGGTAAAATACAATATCTATTGTTAATCCCTGCTTGTTGCTAATCAGTTAGTTTAACTTTATAACCGATCACAAATGCGTTATGCGTTTTATAATTCTATTTCTTATTTCAAATTATTTCATAATCCTATTTCATAATCCAAAATGAATTAAACATAAGTTTATAAAATAATTAGTTGATTTGTACCAGTGTTTAAAAATGCATTAGTTATAATTACACGTTTTATTGAACGCTTTTCATTAATGCTTTTTTTTAGAAACGCCTACTCATTTACTAAAACAATTTTATTATTCAAGTCTAACTTACATGCTGCTTCCAGCTTATATAAAGCTTCCTAGCTCATACAAAACAGTATTTTATAGAGAAAAAAAATCTTCGAACACGATTAATCTACCTTTTTCATAACAAGTTTGTTAATAGTGCGCAAATATGAACTTATTCTTAGCAAATTTTCAACTTATTAGAGTTTTAACGAGTTGCCCAGATTCTTTAAAAAATAAGAGTCCAGGAAAAGTTTAATTAACTTAAACTTTCATTTTATATTGTTTTAAATATAGCACTTTAAAGCTAATATGTCTGCCGAGATTAAGTTGTTCTTTAAAAGTTGGTCATTAAAAGTTGTTCTTTAAAAAAGAGCAGTTTAAAGTTTAAACTGCTCTTTTTTATTTTTAAAGAACAACTTTTTAAAGAAATCTCGGCAGACATATTGTAGAATGATAGCTGTTTAACACACGTGTGTTAAATAGCTATCATTCTATAATATATCTGCCGAGATTAAGTTGTTCTTTAAAAATAAAAAAGAGCAGTTTAAAGTCTTATATTTAAAACATTATAAAATGTAAGTTTAAGTTAATTAAACTTTTTTTCGTGGACCCTTACTTTTTAAAGAATCTGTGCAACTCGTTAAAACTCTTGTAAGTTGAAAATTTGCTATGGCTAACTTTATATTTGGGCACTATAAACAAACTTGTTATCAAAAAGGTAGATTAATCATGTTCGAAGATTTTTTTTTCAATAAAGTACTGTTTTTGTATGAGCTAGGAAGCTTTATATAAGCTGGAAGCAGCATGTCACTCAGAATTATAAATAAAAATTGTTTTAGTAAATGAGTAGGCGTTTCTAAAAAAAAGCATTTATAAAAAGCGTTCAATAAAACGTGTCATTATAACTAATGCATTTTTAAACACAAAATGAAGTAGAATTATAAAACAGCATAATGCATTTATGATTGGTTATAAAGTTAAACTAACTGGTTAGCAAAAAGCAGGCATTAAAAATAGATATTGAAAACCAGGACCTGCCCAAAGAAATTTTAAAGGGGAGAGGGGGGACGTATATGTATTTTACTGACAAAGGCCTAGAAATTATTTTTTCCGACTAAGATCTAATAGAAAAAAAAAGGTTCTTGTTGGTTGACATTTGTCGACTGCCAACTATAGATTCAGTTTTTCAACTAATAAATTTTGTAAGTAATTTTAGTAAATGAGTAGGCGTTTCTAAAAAAAAAAGCATTAATGAAAAGCGTTCAATAAAACGTGTAATTATAACTAATGCATTTTTAAACACTGGTACAAATCAACTAATTATTTTATAAACTTATGTTTAATTCATTTTGGATTATGAAATAGGATTATGAAATAATTTGAAATAAGAAATAGAATTATAAAACGGCATAACGCATTTATGATCGGTTATAAAGTTAAACTAACTGATTAGCAACAAGCAGGGATTAACAATAGATATTGTATTTTACCGACTAAGGCCTAAAAAATTTATTTACTAATTAAGATCTAAAAGAAAAAAAAAGGTTCTTGTTTGTTGACATTTGCCGACTGCCAACTATAGAAACAATTTTTTCGACTTTAGTGTAAAATTTTTCGACTAATAAATTTCGTAAGGGGGCTAGCTACCCATGACAACCCTCTCCTTCCTTGAGACGCCTCAGTGCAAGGCGCATAGAAAGTTTAATTTTTGAGGCTTGTGTTAAAAAACATTGTAACTAATAAAGCATCAAATATAAAAACTGCATGGGATGTTCTTAAATAGAAATAATTTGTAATGGTTGAGCTGCCTGTAAAATTAATGCTTTTATAAAAGATATTTACCTTCTCGAATTATAGATATTTTAGACAAATTTGTATAGCTACTTGTTAAGCCGAGAACATCTCTGGAAAAAAGCTGCATTTGTAATTTTAAATCAGAAGATAAAAAATGTTTCAAATTTTTATAAAGAGGTACACAGTAACATTTTGAATTATTTAAACAACTTATAATTGTATGAAAAACAATTATTGTGATAAGTACACTAGTAGGTATTCATTAAAAGATAAATACAAAATACCACTTTTTTTTCTTTTTTTGCACTCCACAATATTTATGGTTTTATTTGCGTTCCAACAACATTTAAGTTGATTCTCTTAACTTGAATAAAAATGTTTGTTTTTTACCAACTATTTTTGTTATTTACCAACTATTCTATTATCTTTAATATTTGTCAAAAGTTTTTGAAAGGAGCAAATTTAAACAGGTAGGAGATAAATCTGTTAATCAAGTAAATTTTTAACTTATTTAAAAGATGAATCTTTTAAATAAGTTAAAAATGAATTTTTTAGTTTAACGATAAAATGTTTGGTATTATAAGCAAAAGAATCACCAAAACAGTCAAAATATCAAGTAATGTATCAAGTTATAGTTCAACAAGATATTTCATTCAATAAGTTTAAATAGAGTGCTACTTCAATTTATTGAAGCAATTTACACTCTAATCATTCACATCTTACAATATCTAGCCAGAGCTCTGTATATCTTCAAAATCTCCAAACCTCAGACCTCTTATTTCTGAGACAGAAGTTTGACCACTGAGCTACAACAACTTATTTTACTACTCTAAAATTATGAATAACCATAAAAAATGTACATAATTAAACTATTAGGAACGAATAAGGTAACAAATAAAGAATCAAATATGCATTCTTAAGTTGGATAGTATATGGTCTAGTGAAACTTTTACAATAAAAATATACAACAAAAATTATACGCTTAAATTAAAAAAATGTTTCACTTACCTATTTTTGTTAATCTATTAAATAAATGGACTAACTTACCCGTTAAGTTAAACAACTTAGTTGTCTAACTTAATTACCAAATCTTCTGATTGGTAGAATTTATCTTACTTATTTGTAAAATTTTCGAACTGTTCTCTATAAATTTGTTTTTAGTATTTAACTTTTATTTACTTTAAAATAATAAATAATAATCACATCATGTTTAAAATAAATAATCACCTCAAGTTAAAAATTATCAATAGATTATGTATAAAATAATATTTCGTTCTGATTATCTTATAATCAGAAAAGTTTGACTATACAGTAAAATCGATCGAAAAAAATTTCAGTTTTTTTTCCTGAAACATACAGAAAATTATATTGATAATTGATATTGTAAAGATAAAAATAATAAAAAATATACAACAAATATAAAAAAATGAAAAATAAAAACTAGTATTCAATATTTAATTTAAAATGAAAACATCTACTTTGACCGCATATCAAACATCTACTTTGACCAAACTCTCATAAGTTTGGCCGCTATATAAATACTAATAACGTTATATATAATTAAAACTAATTTTTAAATGTTGTTTTATTGTAAAATTATGGTATAAATTCAGGTAATACCTGTAACTAAGGAGGGCGTCGCCCCGCACTATAAAAAAAAAAAAGACTTTTTGGGGCACCAAAGAAAACAAAAAGGAGCACATAAAATAAGACCTTTTTAAATGTAAGTAGTTTTATTTTTAGTTTTTATTGTAATTAGACAGCTATTTTATTACTTTGGCCAATATCACGTTTGCTACACCCCTGAAAAATATTTTTTTAATTTTATTAACCGATTAATTTAAAAAGGTTTTTTCAATTAACAAAGAAACACTACTTTGCTGGAAATAAGCTTTGTATGTTTATTGGCAATTCTTGCACGTATCTCTGACCATAGTATAACAGCAAGATCGATACAAGCAATCGT